AGGGGGGTTGGGTTAAAATTTTGGGGGGGGGGGGGGGGGGCGGTTCCCTTTTTTCTGTAACTTTTTTTTTTTTACCGGGGGGGTGTGGGGGGGGGATTGGGGGTGGTTTTGGGGGGCCGGATTTTTTTTTTTTGCCCCAAAATTTTTTTTTTGGGGGGGCTTTTTGGGTCCCCTTTCTTTTTCCCTTTCCCCCTTTTTTTTTTTTTTTTTTTTTTTTTTTTTTTTTTTTTTTTTTTGTTTTGTTTTTTTTTCCCCCTTTGGGGGTTGGGGGGGGTTTTCCCCCCTTGTTTCCCCTTGGGTTTGGGCCTTCTTGGGCCCCCGGGGGCCCCCCCCCCCCCGGCACCGGTAACCCCCCCCCCCCAAAAGTCGTTGGCGGTTACTCCTGTGGATGAAGATGATGATGATGCTGTTATTGACGCCGGCGCGTCTCCTTTTCGCCTAGCCGAGAGCTCATCGCAGAGCTTTTCCACTCCCTGCGAGTTCGATACCGGGTGGGCGGCGTTTTGGTTTTGCACGGAAGCGCGAACGACGCCGGTTCCGAAACACGGGGCGGAGGGGGAAAATAGATTCCTTGGTTAGTTGAAAACCGCTTCATCTCTTTCGAAACTGCCATTCATCGCTCCTACTCCCATCCAAAGGAACCTATTCAGAACTTATCCCCACGTTTGGGGTCTCTTGGGATCTCTTGGGTACATTTTCACCAAAACTGTCGCAAAACTCACAACTTCGGAAATAAATTTCTGCTTCCTAAACCTCTTTCGCGCAAACGGGAAGCAAAGGGGGGTTGTCCGAGAATGCAAAAAGGTTCCTTCCTAGAACGATCACTATGGGGGCTTGAGAATTGCCGACCGGGGTCACAACCCAGTGATCGGACACAGCAGCAGTGCTGCTGTATGCTACACCACAAAACATGCGAAACGTACACTTACAACATATTACACAACAAGATAGGAGGTCGCGTGTTCAGTGTATCTAGCTCACCCTCGACTGGCCAAGGAACTGCTCAAGGTACTGCCTAAGCTCAACGGGCTGGGACACCGGGAAGCTGTCGAGCGCAAACCTCGCGATCTCTTCTACCTGAGGGAAGGTTGACGACGGGAGACGGGAGAGTAGCGCACGGTACACTACTAAATAGTGTGGCATGGTCATTCCTGATTGCGGTTCAATACAAACACTATGACGAGTGCCTACACATTTCTCTGTAACATGGCGCGAAGAAATTTGCCGGTAGATACGATGGCCCTGAAACTACCGGGGTTTTTGCTCGCTTTGACTGTGACGACGGCTACAAGGGCCAGCAGGCGCGCCGGGCGGAGCGTGGAGTGGGCCCTGCTGCAACCGGTGCGCGGTGGGCGAGGCTCACATCTCTTTCGGCGTGGGTTTTCAATTCAGTATTCAGCCTCCGTGTCTGAAGAGTGTTCGACAAGCGCCGACGCCCTAGTCCAACACAATACCAGTGTTCACCGCACCTCATCAAAGCCAAGCATGCGCCGGAGCTCGCCTTCAAACCACGCCCGAGTCTTGGCCATGATTCTATTGTAGAGCGAGTTCCCACGCGTCCTGTGCGGACGGCATGTTTGTACGAGTCCGCAAAAATCGCGAATTAGTGATTGAGTTACGCCTGCACTTGGGCGGCCATACGCATGTATGGACGTCATTACAGAGGCCAAAGCAAAACGAAGCACGGTTTTCAGTCGCACCCTGAGCACCTTGGGTAGGACACAGCAGTCTGTCTACATTTACCGGCTAATGGTGCATACAGTCCAATGCATAGTCTACATCGTCTGCCGCTGCTGCGTCTGCCAAACCACATTACAGGCACGGCAGCTCGCCCCGAGATGTGACCCTCAAAATACCATCATTGTTAACCCTGCTGTACGTCGAACGGCCACATGTGCTGTCCTTCCTGTTATCTGGGTTGCTTCAAAGAGCATGAGAGCAACGGCTGCGCGTCTACAACGCAACAACGCAGACTGGTATGTATATGTAGACAACACGTAGACTCGGTGCTGTGCAGACGGACATACACTCCGCGGAGTCCAGCGGCGTGTGTCGCAATCAGATGCAATTCGGACGCTCTGAAAGGGGCACCGGTAATCAGATGAAGCCATCACCTCAAGAAGGAAACCAGCAGGCGTCGACAGACAGAAGCTGGCGTTGAACCTGTGAGCTGTCTCCTAGCGCGGAAGGCAACTGGTGCGGAGTGCGGAGGGCGAGTGAACAACCGATCTCCAAAAAATGGGCAGATCTCCAGGTTCTACGAAAATGGCAACCAGGTTCTACGAAATAGAGGTTCACGGTTCACGGCCCTCCACATTTTTCTGTGACGAGTCGACGTCCACCGTCATGGCAAAAAGGAGTAAAGGGCACATTGGATTGTCTTCATGGCCAAAAGAGCGCGCAAAAGAGAGGGAGAACAGTAGAACAAACCGAAGAGTAGAAAAAGAAGTGGCAGAGGACAATGGAAGCTGGAAACCCAAAGTTGACGTGTTCCTTCAATTTGGCGTTTCAGCAGCAGTTTCCGGACTCGAGATCATCAGCTTGTGACTCTGTATGCATGTAGGCCGGCAGGGTGTGTCCTCTTTCGTCCAGAGTCTCGATGGACCAGGAAACGCGAACGGACCCAACCCCCACCCCCTTGAGATCTTTTAGAAGATCTTGAAGGTGGCGGTAGCCGGAGGAACGGAAGAAGTAGATGCATCCAACACCCACAACTTTTTGTTCGTGGAGTCGCGATCTGATACGCTTGCTTGCTTTTCTCAGGAGATCATATGGGATGACCCGATACGATAGGGGCACCGCGATACAGTCAGTCCAGATGTCGAATACAGTCTACAGTATACGTCGAATGCTGAGACCCATACCTTGGGCTCTCCACTATACATTTTGTACACGTAACCTACATTTTATCGCCAAATATCGTATCCGGGCCGTTTCAAACAAAGAGCATTTGACAGAAAGGTACCTAGGGTACGCCTGTAGTCGTAGATTACTACTGCCTGTACAGTGTAGAATCCTGTGTTTCTCCGCCTTCATTTGCTCGACGGTGTTGGTTCAACAGACGACTCCAGAACATGCCCCTTACAAAGTCCTGTGGACTCTAATCTGCGGATAGAGATGGGATCCGTCATGTACGTTAGTAAGAACACTAAAAGAGTCGGCACCGTCTGCTGCTGGAAAGAGCCAAAGCTGGGACAACGGTGGCACCGTCTATGCAAGAGTCAGCCTGAACCACAATCGACTATCTATACGTTATCTCGCAAGAGTCAGCCTGAACCGCACGCGACTAGTCTATAGGTTAACTCGCAAGAGTCAACCCGAACCGCAACCGACGCGCGACAGACGCGCCGCCTTTGGGTCGCCCACACCAGCACACAACTCCATCTCCTCCCCCTTCTCTCTAGACTATTGCTCTGCAACAGCACAGAAAAGACAAGACAACAACAACGTTCAACATGAACTTCTCGGAAATCTTGGACATGGCCGTCCCAACTCCGTCCGCGTTGGTGCGGATGACGATCCTGGTCGTCATCCTTCAGGTGATGATCGCCTGGGGTATCATGACAACGACCGTTTTCACCGAGGGCACCCCGGTCACGATGGCGGCCGCTGAACAGTCGTTGTCCATCACCGGCATTACCACCAGGTCAGTGAAACGTTCGGCTGTGCAAGCGCACACCACGCGCGAACGTTAGGACGCGGCCATGGTAGCGTGTCAAGTCGGCGCATCAAAGTCATACACCCCTGACTTTATTTTCAATAGCACCGGTCACCACGAAGAATTTCTTTTGTCTGAGTAAAGACTACAACGATCACTACCTACCGTGATAGCTGTGGCGTCCGTTGACCGGTGGCTAAATTAGACACACAACGGGCACGCGCAGCGACTCACTGAGCTGCCGCGCTTTGAGACTCTACCCCTGCGCGGGGTTCATGGCTCCGACCGTGTGCACCCTACAGCCGTCACTACTTGATTCGCCGTTCGTTCACGTTTTCGGAGAAATTCGGCTAAATAGTCTTGAGCGAACGATCACGCGATAGCTGGCCAGTACATCATATGATAGACGAGAGTCACTTAGTGATAATTGTACCCTGTAGTACTGTAGTGGTGTGACATCACTCAACCTTCGTTGCATCGTCAGAGCAGCGCGCATTGCTTCGCGTGGTCTGGAGCATCTCGTGTCGAATGCAACCGTCGATGATTAAACCACCTGTGTCTTCTCGGGCCGTTTCTGCTATATGTCGCTACGTGAACGAACAGCGAGTTCCCCTGGGCGTCCATCATCTGGACGCTGATCGCGTTGATTTTGTCCGCGTTTTCGGGCAGGGACATCGTCATCGACATTATGGTGAGGCCAGGCTTCGTTAGGGCGGGAATTGACAATCATTCCTGTTTATGTTCGCTTTTTTCCCATCCTTCGTCGATTAACGAGTCGTGCAGCAGCATGTGGTGCAGTTCACCCAAATTTCGCGCCTCGTTTGATCTGTCCTCTTGAGACAGAAAAAAGGCCCGAAGGGCTGGCGGTCTGGTATCAAATCTCCTTCGGTGCCCGATATGCTGTTAACAGATAAGCGTTATCTGTCTTAAAATAACAGAGGGTGCTGTCCTCATACTTGTATGGCAAGTTACGTCTGGCGAGAACCCGTCCCAGGATTGCATGGAACCTGGTTTGATAGTCTCCCACGAGATAGGGTTCGACCGAAAGCTAACCTTTCCCTGCTGTGTCCACCTCACCACACCGCCGCCTCCGCATGACATGTCAACCCCACAGGCCTTAATGTTCACCACGATGCCCTTCGATTCATTCGTCAAGACGCTTGGCTTCGTCCTCGTCATTCTCCTTCACGTGAGATGGGTGTGGATTTGACACGTACGGTGTACCAGGTATATGGAAGAGCTGCACGGCATGTCTGCAGAAAAACATCACTGTAGCTACGGTAGTGTGTGGGCAGTGTGTGCCGATGGAACATTCGGCGTGAGAACGAGGAAACACTTCGCTTCCTGTCTGCTCCGTTGAAAGTTTAGCTTCAAATAGGACTGAGTGCATCCACGCCCGGGAGAGGTTTACTCACGCAGAGCTCGATGCAACGGGCAGCACCCATCGCCTGAAATCTCGTGCCACGCGTACCATGCGAAAGAAGAACCAGCGCCATCGCTAACATCCCTCTCTGCTCCTGTGTTGCATATATATTCTGTTTGCGTTCACAATTCGTTTGTACCCTAGGCTCACTTCTATGGGTTGGCCGAGCGTTGCCTTCGCACTGCCGTACAATTCGGCAACACCAGGCGAGTTGTGATGTCCGCGAAGCACAAGGCGCAGGTCAAGGCGCTCAAGAAGAAGCTCCGGGTCAAGTGCCGGATGGTGGAACTGGCGTCCATTTTGGACGTCCAATCGGCGTAAGTAAACACGAACAACCTTAGACATGACTACATAGGGTTGTGCAGTGTTACATGCCGGTCTAGGCTGGGTGTTATCTGGGGAGAAAACATTGACAGGCGGAAGTCACGGGGGATGAAGATGTTGGGTATGGCAAGATGTACTTGCCAAGCACAAGTCTCTCCCACCCACAGTACGCCAAGGGGCGTTCACTCGCAGCAAGAGACGTTTGTGTGGATGTTGGTGTGTGCATGTGTCAGGATCAGTCACTCTCCCATCCGTACCGGCGAGGTGAAATTAGAGCTAAACCTCACGGCCCTTGAGGAACGGCACCAGCTGAAGCGTCATTCGAACGAAGTTGAGCTCAACTCTGCTGTGGTTTGAGGTAGAATCAGCTACCGCTCTTGTTTCAACTGCGTCAAATACTTTTTTGGTAAACCTGCTCCTACTGTTGCTGCTGCTGCTGCTGTATCTCCTTTGTGTGCATTTCAGTAACCTTCAAGCCTCGTACCGGCAAAGGATCAAGCTGCAAGACAAGCAGGTGAGGACACACCCCGATCACACCCCTGTCGGTGTTACTAAGCATCCTCCGGCTCTTGTCGTGAGTTTCTTGGCAGCCGTAAAGTCCTATCATTTCGTTGGACTCACCATGATTGGGCGGCCGCCGTTAGATAATGAACTTTGATGACAGACCCACATACTGTGCTACCTCCTCCACATGGGCCATGTGGACGACAGAATACGAATATATACTTCTATATATCCCGCACGCAGCAGAACGGGGATGACAATTTGCTGTTCTCTTACAGTAGCTACGTGGTATTTCAGTTTTGAGTTCGATGACTAAACCGATCTGAAGTATATGCCCTCCTCCTCCCTCCCTTGCCCCCCCTCCTTTGGTCTTCTTATGACGTCGCCTGTCTTCCACTTTCGCGAATGTCACGGTCTTGCAGCTATTCACTCTCCACCTCCAGTTCAGCGACCTTCAGCGGTCGAACGCCGCGACCGTGAGGGATTTCTCGCACTACATGTGGTGCGCCGAAAGAACCGTGGACTCGCTTACCGGCGCCAATGCCCTGCTCGAGAACAAACTTGCCTGCTTGGAGGCAGATGTGAGTCATCTATTGGTAGAGGGGGGGTACCAGTTTAGGATGTCTAGAGTCTCTAGACGTTTGTCATGTGAGAGGGAAGACCGACTCAATGGAAACTATACCCTTGGCGATGCTCTCCTTCCTGATTCGAAACGCAACAAAGCAAACGTTGCGAAGTAATGCTCTAAGACGGTGGATTTCGGGCGAGACCATTTCTCAGCCCACGCACAACCGCAATCGATCGCACACACACCCTGTGTTTGTGCTGTAGCCACTATAGTAGTACGCCTACCACACTTGACGCTTTGTTCAAGTGCTTGGTACCATAAGCATACGGGTTCAGGCTGTGCAGGTGGAACGTGCATTGTATCTACCCACTGATACGGTGTTTCCGCTACATCGCTGGCGCGACGCTCGTGACCACAGGTGCAGACTGGCCACGACCTCTATGACCAGTTTCGATCCGACTTCCTCTGCTCTCTTCGGGACGGAGAGACGGCGCTCAGCCACAAGGATGCGGAGATATCCTCTCTGAAGCAGGTGGGTCATGCAGTGGGTTGTGACAGGATGACAACAGGAGGGAAACTGCTGCTGCTGCTGCTGCTGCTAACTGTGTGCGCACTGAGTACGCAATTTCACGAGAATTCCTAGTAGGTTTCTCCGGTTGACGTTGTTGCAATCCTTCCGCGGTTCTACACGGTGAGGTCGATGGGGTAGAAAACATTCGACGCACGTTCGAATGACGCCCTGGTCACGCTCTACCCAGCAAAGCAGTGCTCTCTATCGTGAACAACGCTTCAGGTACCCAACCTCGAGGGCCAAACCTAAGGTAGATCAAGATGAGTGTGGAGCCGCAGTAGCTGTGACAACATGTAATGATACCACCACCATCGCGTCCTCCGCCCCCTTGCGCTCTGTGCTGTGGGCAAATGATGACAGGACAACGCTCAGCTCGTTAAGGCCAATCAGGACAAGGACGAGGAGATCAAGCTCCTGAAGGCTCAGCTGGCCATGCAGCTCAAGCAGCCTCAGGAAGGTCAGCATACATGTGAACGTGTTGCCGATGTGGTGCACGCTAGTCGCGGGACACACACACATTGTGTGCAGAGATCGCCTATACTCACGCCCGTGGGTACCCTTTGAGCGCTTGCTTTGAGCAAGGCTTTGGACGAGCGATCGTGGTACATATGCATATGTGGGCATCACAACCTCAGCCGAAACGATGACTCGCGAGACGTCAAATATTTGGTGGAAGGGTGTGCTTACCCATTACGAATAGGTTGGTCGTCAACGTCTTCATCGGATGGGAATGGTCATGTTGCAGCTCGTCATCTACCAGTTTGTGTTTACTTCCTACTCGCACGGTGCATGGGAGACAACGATTTCAGGAATCAGTCAAACACTCATTACCTCAGTGCATGGTTTTTGTACCGTCAATGTTTTCCCTTTAGTCTAGAGAGTAAAGCGAATGTTGAAACGTTGAAAGACGGGTGTTCGAGTGGATTCGTCCCATGCCCTCTCCCAACAAAATGTCATGTTAGAAACCAAGCAAGGCACAAACCCGGTCGCGAGCGGCGTCAAGAGCGCAACACTTTTCCTGTGTGTCTCACAAAACGCGGGCGTACAAATACAACGTTCTGTGTGCTCTCTTGTTGCGTTTTTTCAATTTTGCAGGCGAAAACAACGCCCACACCGACATCTCCACCGAGCTGCCCAGCCCCAGGTACGATACCAAAACGGCATGACGGTTGCTCGGTAGACTTGCCAGCAAACGGTTTCGGCCGTTTGTATCTCTGTTTCAAGTCCCCATTGTCGGTGGGTGCTTTACGACTGTGGTGACATTGTTTTGGCGATGGGTGCAGGTGGTTGTTCTTTACCAGGTATCACTGACGACTTCATACAAGGTGTGTTCTGCGATGCTTCATTGATGGGATAATTTGCTTGCAAGCTGCGGATAGTACTTCGCAATACCATGCCCAGTAGGATATTTTCTACTCCTTCGAGCAATCTAGGGGGAAGTCGGGGGCGAAGTGATGCACAACCGTCTTCTTCAAGCACTTTGTTGGCGTATTTCGGCCATTCCATCCCACCAGACGTGATTAAAGGAATGTATTTTATGTATACAGCAAGCAACAAAACCGGCCCGCTTACTTGTTTGTCCCCCGGTTTTATGGTCATCCAACTTGCATGCCTCCCTGTTTTGCGGTGGTGCTTCCCTCCCGCGCCCGTCGACTCTGTCCTATCGAACAAACAGCTTGCACAGCAGGTGGGGAAGCGCCGAGAACGTCCCAGGTGTCTCGAGTTTCCAGGCCAAGCGCCACCCGTCCGTCTCCACGGACTCGTCCGCCGCTGTGATCGCCACGGCCGCTTCGGGGACCTTCGTCTCCAAAGCCTCCCGTTCGGGCACCAAGTCGGTCGCCACGACGACCTACCTGGACACCACCGCCGATGACAAGGCGGCGGCGGAGTTCCTAATTGCGGACACCGCGCTCGCACACTGGTGGTTGTCGGCGACCGCTACCTCGGCTGGGTGAGGGTGTAGCACGCTGTTTTCGTCTCATGTCCTATCTGCGAGCGTCGACCTCTGCTGTTGGTGTTGCACTTGGTGTTGGCCGTGCTGTTGCTGTTGCGCTTACTATAGGGAGTGTGGTGCCAGCAAGAACAACATCGAAGATGACCTGTGTATCGAGCGCTGTATGTATATTCTCCCTTCGACGTAGACTAGTCTAAGATGGCAAGCGGAACTGGGAAACAAGTAGGCATTTCTGGGTTCACCCGTTCATGAACAACGCAGCAATGACCTTAACATTTCCCGAAGGCCTATTGAATAGCGAGCCAAACACACACCCGCTCAAGTTTGGAGTGGGTCATCTTCCGTGTGGCAGTTTTGCCCGAATTGTGTGTATGTGTGCCCTACGGCAACAACGGCATGGGAGTCCGATGGAGCTTCCAAGGCGGCAATGATATTTCCTATAGCATAGTTAGCAGAACCTGCCGTGCACCTCAGTTACTACGTGTGCCTGCTCTATTTCCTTCTGCCCGCACTGCTTGACAGACACTGAATGCCACCAGTTCGTTCTGGACCTGAAGGTGGACCACATCTTCTATCTTCAGGGCCTTCCAACACCTTTTGACCAAGACACCCATCATCTACGACGAAGGGACTCCTTCTCCAGTCTCTTCCCACGGCATGTTGATTTTTGGTCGCCGCAACACTGTTTTGTTATCCTCTGTCAAAAATCTCTTTACACTCGTACTCGTATGTTTTATCGCATGACTCAAGACAGCAGTGTCCAAGGCATCGTTGTTGTCCTGTTTTCGAGATGAGCGCTCCGAGGAGCACCGTATGTAGTTTTAGTATTCCACGCCTTGTCGAGCTAAAAGTGCGACCAGCACGGGACCATCGCTTGAGAAGTGGAAGGGAGAGTCATCCACAGGGTGTGTTGGTTGTGTGGAAGAAGGACCACACACGATCAAACAACCAAAAGGAAGAGAAAATTTGAAAATGGCATGAAGGAATTTGAAAATGGCATGAAGGATATCCTCGTTTATTGTTTGTGGTGTCGCGGGAGCGCAGTGGGGGGACGAAGAGACCTCTTGTGTTGACCGGCTCGGTTCACCAATCATCACTACTCGGCGGAGGCAACACGTCCCGGCTTTTTGGCACACGACTCTGGCGGCTACCGTTGCAGAGAGGTCGGCGCTTTTTTGCCCTCGAGTTTGGCTCTATCTCTTACCAAAATGCAGCGGAACTACATCTATGTGCATCTGACTTCATGCAGAAATGCGTTGACCCCGCTCGCAACCGGTTGCTCCGGAGTGGGACGCCTGTGTTTGCGATTTCTCGGGGTAAAGGGTGATCGAGAGCAAGACGAAGGTAGTTTCGAGGATCCAATGGTAGAGAGCTCTCAATGAACATGCAGAGCACCACAGAGCAGGACCGGGAAAAGGGACGGTTCTCAGATTTTCGTCAATCTACGAGATCTACGAGCACAGCCAACATTCATTGGTCAACAGCCAACAGTCTCGGGGAGACCTGTTCCTTCAATTTGGCTTTCAACAGCAGTTTGTGACTCGGTATGCGCATGTACGCCGGCAGGGTGTTTCCCCCCTCGCTCCAGAGTCTCGATGGACCAGGAAACGAACCCAACCCCCACTCCCTTGAGATCTTTTAGAAGATCAAGGTGGCGGCAGCCGGAGGAACGGAAGAAGATGCATCCAACACCCACAACTTTTTGTTCGACGAGTCGCGATCTGATACGCTTGCTTGCTCTTCTCACGAGATCATATGGGATGACCCGATACGATAGGGACACGGCGATACAGTCTATCCAGATGTCGAATACAGTCTACAGTATATGTCGAGTGCTGAGACCCATACATTGGTCTCCACGACATGAAGCCTAAACACGGTAGGACAAAACTCTCAACTTATCACCCCTAGGCTACACGCGTAGAACGCATGTACTTGCACATACATATCTAGGATCACACAGACAGAGACGTCTTGTTGTGTTGCTGCAATCGACTACAGAGAGAATTGCGTGACTCACGATGCAATACCGCAGGTATCCAGCGGAACTCATGATGCTACTGCAGGTATCCAGGTATCCAGCCATGGTGCATATCTCCGACACGACCCCTCGATCGAGTAACACGGCAACGGTGCAGCTCCCGAGACCTATCAAAGATCAACCAACGATCGACTACTGATAGCAGTACTACATTGACAAACAAACGCGAAAGACCGGCGACCGATGCCGTCACAAACTTGTTTCCTGTCAGCGCGCCGGCGAACTTTGGTGTGTCGTTACTTGCTGCTTCGAATATCATACAAGGCTTTTTGGCGGCTTTATAATTACGCCGCCACGCTGGAAGAAGAAGACGAATGTTACTTGGTGTTCGATGCACGATGTTAGTCGGCGTTTGTTGAATGGGGCTTCGTTTGTGGCATGCCGTGGCTGTGAGATTCCCGTGAAGTACGTTCCCATGAATATGCTTAGGGTTATTTGCATGCATGTGAGAAACGGAGATAAACGGATCCAGCCCTAAAAAGATCCCGGAGAGAGATGGAATTCTTGTAGAAATGCATGTTCGGCGCGTACATGCGAGATCCCAGAGAGACGAACGCGTGTATTTTGAAACATAACATGTGAAAGTCCGGCGTGTCAGAGAGCAGACTACCGGCTGCTCGAAAGCGAGAGAGAGACTGACCTAAAGCCCTGTGAGAGGCGCAGTTGAACGATGACATGTATTTGTTGTGGTGGATGGGGAGCAGAGGAAAGCGCCTACAAACGTTCCTTCCTCAAGCGGGGATGAAATAGCGGGAAAACGGAATGAACATTTTTCAAAACATGAAAGCGGGAAATAAGAATCTGCATGTTAAAAAAACTCTACATACTGCTGCGGTGTGGGACATGTGAGAGGGACTGCTGTTGTTGTGTAAGAGGGGAGAGACTGGCGGCACGAAGTAATGTGACGTGTGTGAAAGGGAGAAAGGTTCCGAGCGACCGAACCGGGTGTGATGAACGAGCCAAACGCAATGGTGAGACATGAGAGAGAAACGGTGAACACAAGAATACAACACCGAGGAACAGATGGAAAAGAGGGAATGTGAAATAAATGGACCGCTGTGAGAGAGACCGAGAAGACCCGAAATGGAGCCCTCTCAGCGCAGATAGATCCAGACAGACAGAGAGGGAAGCGACAGAGGGTCAGACCTAGTGCCTCGTGTGAGAGCCGCAAATAAATGTGTGCAGCGGAGGACAGAGCGACAGACGTCGTGTGATCAGAAACCCAGAAGGACCGGGCCACCTAACCAGTCTATCTCAAAGAGATCGGAATATATAATAAGCATAGGCTATATAGTGAATACGTGCCTGCGTTTGTTTGGAAGAACCTCTGCTTGGAGATATTGGATGGACCCGAAGTGAACAGAATTGTACACAACAACCACATGACAACAGAGTTTACAGGCAGCCACGCATGTATTGGACACGCATGCATTTATTGAGAAAGCACGATGCTGTTCTTTATTGTTCTTACGTGCGCGGTAGTTTGGTGCGACACCGAAGGGGTGGGGAGGGATGCGTCCCGCGCGAGTCCGCAAATAAATTGGACACGCGCCAAACACGCGCACTGGCGACGAGCGCACAGGCGGGTTACCTACACTGTTTGACAACGGACTAAGCTTCCATGGAAGTCAAAATATGCCTCCATGGAAGTGGTTCACTGCTTCCATGGAAGTCACGATGGCTGGTCTGGTTCGGGTAGCCAGCTTCCATTACGATTCCATGGAAGCTCATCGAGGTTCCATGGAAGTGAATCTGCTTCCATGGAAGCAGCCGCTATTTGCTTCCATGGAAGAAGGATTTCGAACTTCCATGGAAGCGCGTAGAGCTTCCGTGGAAGTGACACTTCGATGGAAGCTCGTCGCTCGACAGAGTCGCAGCAACTTCCAATAGAAGTTGTGCTAACTTTCATGGAAGCACGACAACTTCGATGCAAGCAACTTCCATAGAAGTCGGTGACAGCGGTCGAAATCAATTTTGATGGAAGCACCGAAACGTTCATGAAAGCAACTTCCATGGAAGGGTCTGGACATGTGTTCACTGCAGCTTTCGTGGAAGCATTCCAGCTTCCATGGAAGCTGTCGACGAAGACTTCCATGGAAGCTGCGGGAATAAGCTTCCATGGAAGTGGTCCACAACACCAAAGCTTCCATGGAAGTATACGCTAGGGACTTGAAATCTAGAACATCCAGCTTCCATGGAAGTATATCCTGCCCTTCAAGCTTCCATGGAAGTCGCTCTCAGTCCTCCCGAAGGACTTCCATGGAAGCTTGTTCATGCCATTTCCGTGGGAGAAGGCGTCGAGACCAACCTTGCATGGGAGTTTCCCCATACAGAGTTGTCCAGCTTCCTCCATCCATGGAAGCATCGTGTGTCAGGGATATCTACGTGTCCATGTGTGTGTGTACAGTAGCGAAGATCTATCACTCCATGATCGCTGCAGTCAACTTAAGTAGTACCCTAGTTACGACATGAAGATTGTGTGTGCACACTACAAGGTATCATGAGCCACCTAGGTATCAGACGCGTGCAATTTCACGCAAAGCCAATACCACACGCTGTATGACGCGCGCTCCCGTACAGGGCTGGCAGCGGACGGTGATAATAGTTATCGGTGAAACCCCAAGGTAGGCGGTCGACTATTCGGGGTCCCCAACAGTAGGAATTGGGATCCAGAGCTGGCCCATGCGCCTCTCTCCCTCACTCTCATACCCTACCATCAATCTCTGACCTTGGAGTAAGACGTTAACAACAACATCATCCACAGCTCCCACGGGCGGCATTGTAATAATCGTAATAATCGACTTCCAATCCTAGTTCAAAGAAAGGCAGATCGTTACATGACCTTAATCATTTCCCTGGAGGAAGCATTTTGTTATAAACGCGTTTGTGGAAAATTCATCTACAACGAGTTCCAGGTTTTCCGTGGATGAAATGTTCCGCAATACCTCTTCCATAAACGCGCGCCTTCTTGTATTTTCCATGGAACAAAATGATCTCACTTGGGACTTTGCGTGTGTGTATACTATGTGTGTGTTTTTATTATTAGCATCGACCGCGCTAACCGGCTGACCAATGAGAAGACGTAGTCTAAATCTTAGTGCGGTTGAATACACAAAACTCACTTCTATCTGCCATGAACTGGGACCCCGGGAGGGGTCAGCATGGGGGAGGCTAAACTATCCTTCGGATCAAAGACAGAAACGGTAGCAACATAATTCTGCACGCGTCTGTACGAAGGCTATTACCTTGTACTCGAGTTCGTTTAGGACATTTTCCTCTTTGTTTTCGCTACCATCAATCTGATTATCATTTTGACAACCATATCTTGACAGTTCTTCCCTAGCCCTGCGTCTTTTGTTCTGGGGAAGGTCGTCTGGCTCAAACCCTTTGCTCTCTTCCACTCCTCCATGTTTTCCTCCTCCATTGTCGTCTTTGTCCTCCTGTGTTCCCGTGTGTGTGTAGAACAATAAAGCTTCATCGGTGTGGAG